CCCCCCCCCCCCCCCCCTTCCCACTAGATCTTCCCCCACCCCGCACAGTCATGTAGAAGGAGATCTCTTTGGAAAAATTGCAAAGTTCGACAAAAGGAAACGAAAGACAAGAGCGAGAACGATGGGGACTAGGCCATGCTGGGTGCAGCCGAGTGGGTATGATCGTTCTGCCTTCCCTCTTCGCACACAGGTACACTGACGAGCCACGAATCCTTCAACACCTCGTCCATCGTCCACCTGCCCTTGGGATCGGGGCACAGCATCTTCTTGAGCAGCGGCCGGCACTCCCTCGGACTGAGGTTCGACAGCGGACTCGGCGCGGGACTGGTGGCGTACGACTGGACGTACTCCTTGAACGTCGGATCCGACATCTTGGCCACCCTCCAGGGGAGCTCCTGGAACTGCATGCAGTAAAACACCACCGCCGCCGCCCATACATCCACCAACCTCGCATCGTACTCCTTCTTCTCGAACTGCTCCGGTGCAATGTACGGTTCGGACCCGCACAGCCCCTTGGAGTAGTGCGTCGACTTCTCCCAGCACATCCGAAACACATCCGACACGCCGAAATCGGTGATCTTGATGTGTCCATGTCCGTCCAGCAGCAGATTCTCCGGCTTGATGTCGCGGTGCGCAACCCCCATGGAGTGCAGGTACGCAATGCCGTTGAGGATCTGCTTGAACGAACACTCCACCTCGGCCTGACTCATCCCGCCGCGCTTGATCGCCGCATACAGATCACCGCCGGGACAGTACTCCATCACCTCGCACCAGTGCCGGTTCTCGTCCTGCACCAGATCCACCGTCTCGACAATGTTGATGTGGTGCAGCGTCGACGAGATGCAGAACTCGGACGTGAGCTTCTTGACGTACTCCTTTTCCGTCTCGTTCTTGCGCCGCTTGCGGAACTCCTTGACCGCATACAGCTTCTCGGTGGATCGGTCCCACTTGTGCGCGAGCCTCACCACCGCCGTCGCGCCCTTGCCGATCGCCGCCTTTTCGCACACGCCGTACTTCTTGAGCAGACTCGCCGTCTCGCCGCCCGCGGTGCTGCCGCCCTTTTTCGAGCCGCCGTCCGACTTGTTGCCGTGGCTGGCGCTCGAGCCGCGCCGGCTCAGCTTGGGCGCGCTGCCCATGATCATGTCGCGCAGCGTCGAGCTCGCGGTGGACTTGGCATCGCCGTCCTTGCCGCGGTCCGACTTTTTGCTGCCGGAGCTCGTCTTGTCCGGCTTGCCCTTGGCGTCCCAGTCGCGCAGCGCGGCGACGGTGAGCCGACTGCTGCCTTCGGTGGCGCCGTCCTTGGCGGCGTTGGCGGCGGAGCTGCTGTCCTTGCGCTTGATCGAGACGTTGCGGCTGGGCGGCTGGCTCGAGGGCGGGCTGGTGAGGTTCATGGCCTGGTACTGCGACGCGAGCGCGGCTTCGTCCATCTCATTGCGCGGGCTGAGCGGCGGCGTGGAGCCGCGGCTGAGCGAGGGCGAGCGCATGGGCGAGATGTGGCCGCTGCCCTGGGCGCTCGCTGCGGTGCGCGGCGACGGACGCTCGCGGCCCGGACTGCCCACGGCGTCGGCGTGGTGCGCCTTGTCCTTGTCCTTGTCGGACGAGTGGCCGGCGGCGCCAGAGAGCATGCGTCGGAACATGCCCTTGGACTCTTTTTCCTTGGGCTTTTCCTTGTGCTCCGGGGCGGCCGAGGGCACACGGGCAGGCTCGGGACGCGGGAGCTGCTGCTGTGGCTGCTGCTGAGGCTGCGACTGCTGCTGCTGCTGCGAGCCGGCAAAGGTACCGGCGGGAGCGGCCGAGAGCGTGTTGTGGCTGAGCTTGGTGGTAGCGGGGCCCTTGGTAGGCGACATGGCGCGTGGCGGAGGCGACGAGGGGCGGGAAGCCGCGGCGGGGGCCGGTGCGGTGGTGGTGGCGGCATTGGTGGCCGAGGGGCGTCTAGACGAGACGAGGCTGGGCGGGTTGGTGGAATTTGCGGAGGCGTCGAGCTGGCTGCCGACCTGGGCAAAGCTGGGCGCGGCGAGGTGGGCGCGGATGTCGTAGGGGCTGTTCTCACGCGTGAGCTCGAGGCGTGCGGCGAGACCTTCCGGACCTCCCTCTGCTTCGAGACCGTGCTTGACGATGGTGTGATCCTTGGCCTGGAGGCCGCTGAGGCGATGCTTGGGGTATCGGTCGCGGTCGGGCGAGGGCGGACGCGAGAGGTTGGACTCGGTTTCGGAGTCGGAGAAGACGAGTAACTCGCGCGCGCGCATCTCGCGTTCCTCGGTGGGGATGCGCACGCTGCCTTCGAGCATGGCGGCCTGGATGCGGTCCGAGTAGGGGGTGGCCATGAGCGGCTTGGGATCGCAGTTGGCGAGCACGGCGGATGGCTTGGGTTTGGTGGCGGTTGCAGCAGACGCGGAGGCAGGCTTGGGTTGCTGCGGTTCCTCGGGTTCCTTGGGTGGATTGCCACCTTCTAAGGTGGTGTCGTCTGTATGTGTGACGTTGTCGGCCATTGTGGGAAAGGAGGTGAGGTTGGCTGTTGCGATGGTGTTGTCGGAAGCTGCCGAATCGAATCGATAAAGGGTGATGGCGATGGCGATGGGAATGGCCGAGTGATTGGTGTGATGTGATGGAGGTAGGAGGAGGAGAAGAGGGATGAGCAGCGACGAGGCCAAAGGGCTAAGTCAGGGTGTGTCGGGAGGCATCCGTATGGGGAGACAAAGCGGGCGACGGGGAGAGAGAGAGCAGCACCGCACCCACCGCACCGCACCGCACCGCACCGCACCGCACCGCACCGCACAGCACAGCACAGCACAGCAAACCAAAGCAAAGCAAACAAGAGAGAGCGAGGCTGTCGCGCTTCACCAGCGCAGCCGCCCAGCCGCCCAGCCGCCCAGCCAATCCGACTGAAAAAGGCTCGAAAAAAGGAGCTGTGAGGAGGGCAAAAAAAAAGGTGGGGCAAAGCTGGCGGGCTCCATCGGTCAGCCTTGACACTCGCACCCACCGCCAAAATTTGTGGAGCCCAAAACCGCCTC